TGGTCTCTGTAATCATTTTATTTTATTTGTAAATAATATAAATTTAGTATTTTTTTAAAAAGAAATTAAATTATTAATTAATTCCACCTAGTATACAAAGTTCTACTAAAAATGCTAATTTAATAAAAATATTCTTAAATTTGACACTTCCTTTAAAAAAAATATATTAAAATTTCAAACGTTTCAATAATACTCTTAAAATAAAAATAAAATAAAAAAATCTTTAAAATACCAACTAAAAAATCAACAATCCATTATTAACACATTATCTTTTCAAAACATTAATACATTATTTAAAAAATACTAATTTTAAAAGGATTTAAAAAATATGATAAATTTTCAAAAGTTTTATTAATATATAATCCATCGGACCATTCTCTTACTATATAAGAATTTTAAACATTATTTTATAAAAGTAGAGTGCTTTAATACTATTTTAAAAAATTTATGGCTATTTTTTAAAAAATAGTACGAATGATAACGTATTTTTTAACCTTGCCTGATATTAATAAAACTTTTTAAATTTATGAATATTTTTTAAACACTATTAAAAGTTAAGAGGGTATTTTTGATTTTTTTTTTTTTAAGTTTAAGGGTATTTTTGAGACTTTTAAACGTTAGATATTTTCGAGACAAAGTACAAAATTTATGAGTATTTTTATTAATTTAGCGTTTTTTAAATTACTAATTTTGTATTAGTAGCATTAAACTTTAAATATGACAAATAAAATTTTAAATTTTTATATTTATAGTTAATATAGAAATACTTCAACCATTTTAAAAGGAATGGTTTTGTTAAAGTAAATTCATTTATTTTGAAGGACGAAAACTTAAAATTTTGTATCCCACCAATACATGATTTTTTTTAATATCGAATATATTAAAAATCTCTTCCATACAATAATGAAAACTCAAGTATTTAATAAACACATAAAAATGAATGCATAGATACACAATCTCTAAATATTTTTAAGGTTTATTTATCAGGTTTAATGATTAATTGTCATTTTCCCGCACATACTCATTTAGTTTTATAAGAGTTGATTAAGTACTGTAAAACAAAATTGTTTTAAAGATTTACGAGGGATGAAAAATAGATGAGACTAAAGAATTAAAAGAATAATGCATAATCAAATTTAATTAATAGGATTTACATAAATTTTTTTTATGAAAAAAATAAATTTTAAATCTTTGAAGTTCCTAGTTAAATTTATATTTAACTATTTTTATATATTTTAAATTTAACCCATTTTAATATACTTTACTAATTAAAACAAAATATATCAGATAATAAGATAAGATAAATATAACCATTTTAAAATAATAATAATAATAATAATAAAATAAATAATAAAATTGAAAAAAGGTAAGGATCCCTCCTCCCTCCTAAATCTCTCACCACTCCTCTTCTAACTGTCAACCTATGAGTAATAAAATATCAGATGTCGGATTCCTTTGTGCAAAAACAAAGAAAAAACAAAAAAAAATTAAGAAGTTAGTTTTATCGAGGGGATAACCTTTCAAAAAGTCGGTGGTATTTTATATATTTATTTTATTTTATTAAATAATATTAATTTCGTTAAACTTAATTAGTTTTAAATTAGGAATTAAATGAAAATAATTTTGTATGAATTTTAGAAAATCTTGTAGCGACGTTAGAGAAAAAATAATAATTGATTTAAAAATTGGGTGTAATATTATTACAATCATATATAAGTAATTCAAGACTTAACTCATCTAAACACTAGAACATGGACCAACGTAAACTAGAGAAACAATTTTGTATACGTCAAAACTTTTAACTGATGTCATGAGCTCACATTGATTGACTTGAATTTCAATAGACATAATCGAACTTTCATTAAGGATAAATTCGTAACAACAACGTAAGCTAATCAAGTAAGTGGTCTTATTATCGATATGATTGTATTTGATGTTGGCACATGCCCTATGGTTCTCCATGTGTCATATATATTGATATGTGTGAATTGTTTATGGATCGATATACTTATGTTATGATATGTATATGTTATGATATGCGACTTGTATGATAACATTTATGATACGATGTGTTCAATGATATGTTTGAGATAAGATATGAGAAGTATGCATTAGACCTAATGTAATGATAGGAGTAAGTAAGATATGTTCATGAAACGTTAAGGTTAGGTTATGTATTGAAATGCTACAGATATGTGAGATTGATAAAAAACGACATGATCACAATCGATTGATAAAAGAATATGGTTAGGTTAGGGATAGAAAGGAATCAGATTAAGATAGATTGATAGAATGACAGCGTTAGGATACTTTCCTGTAACGATATGATTAAGATACGTTTACATAACAATATGACTATGAATGTTAAGGCTATGATAAGTTAGGTAACGATATAACCACGAAGTGTTTACGATATGATATGATTATAATACGACATGTGAATGACGGATATATATATATATTTATTGTGATATGATATGAAATATACTATGGTACGAGATATGTGATAAATTAACATGTTTATGATATGATATATTGTGATGCGATATGTTAGGTATGATATATATATGATGAAAATTGTTATGTTTGGAAGCATGTAATATTATGATGAGATGCATTTATGTAATTTGAATGATATGATATGATTGTCATGCAAAACGGCGAACATGAAATACAACTTCGGCATAAGCATGGAAGATATGATAAATGATATGATAAACGATATGATATGTATGGAATGCTAGCGGGGTTGTATTAAATGATAATGAAAATGAAAAAATGTTGGGACCTCATGCATTATTGTATACTCATGCATTGAGGGACACTCCTTACCTTTCACGATAGTACAGACGCGTACTTTACGAGGCAGGAAAACGATCATTATGGTAATCATGATGCTGTGATTACCAAGCAAGAAAACTATCATTATATTTATCATAATGCTGTGACGGTCAGGTAGGAAACCGATTATTATGTTTACCTAATGCTGCCATGACGGTTATTAATTCTAACAGGTGTCCAACCTAAGAAGCTCCCAGAGTATACTCGTCCGACAAGAAAAGTGGCCCAACGGTATGCGATTGACTAGTTAGTCCATATTCGAGTAACGCTATTGATACGGTTCACTCTGTAAAACGATAAAAAATAAATTAGTGATAAGAGAAAAAAAATGTATTTATTCATTTAATACATTAAACATTAAAACAATTATATTATATACATTAAATAAAGATAGTATTTGAAATTTGAGTGAATGGAAATGGTTTATAATATTTAAATATCATTTAAATGTAATATATATTTTAACACATTATTAATTATTAAAATATTTTATTTGAAAGATTCTCGTCAATATAAGTACTCTTTACAGAAGAGATTCAATGGTTAGATTTGAAGTTTTTCGATACTTCCTAAATCAATTGAGTTAAACTCAAATGAACGTTTTAAACGTAACGTTAAATTTTATAATTTAATTTGAAATTAAGATATGACATAACGAGCGACAACATGTGTAATATTTGCTCGTTTACTAAAATGTCCCTATAATTTTTGCATTTTGAATAGTTTTATTTGTTAATATTTATATTAATATATAATTCCCAAATAAATTGACATCATGGAAAAGGGTGGGATGGGAATAAGTAATAATTTATTATTTTTTGGGGATTTTTTTTTTTTTTTTAATTGTTAACAATAATAGACATTGAAAAGGAAAAGAAAAAGAACAAAAGATGTATGCAAACGTTTATCATGAAATACCCTAATTTTCGACAAGGAAAAAAAAAAAGAATAAAAAAACCAAAATCTTAATTTATAGAATTTTAAAATTTATTTATTTCTTTTTATATTTGGTATAAAAATGAAGTAGGATTGAATGACCTGAACAACTCGAATTATCCAACTCAGACTATAATGATTGGATCGGGTTAGATATTATTAAAGATATTTGACGTTTGTAATAGACGTTAATGATGACTATGACTCATGAATATGTAACTTGTATTCGGGTTGGGTTGGGTTATGAATCTTATTAAGTCAGTAACACAACTAATATAACATTAAAATTTAATACCCAACCAAACAAAATTGTTGCACACAAAAGAAAATAATAATTTGATTTTCTTTTTTTCATTCGTGAATCATGTGAGTGTGTTAATTATCTGTGTTATATTTTTTGTTTTTTTCCACAAATTGACCTAAATGGTAAACTAACTCAAAATAACAATATAATAATTATTAAATTAACATACAATTTAATTTAATTTTAATTTTCATGATTTCTAATTTAATTTTAATTTAATTTCTATAATTTTAAAATGTTCGTTTGATTTATATCACTTTAATTAGCACGATAGCTATATAAATTATTTATTAATCTACACTAATTTTTTTTCTTTAAACCGTAAATATTCATACAGTTAAACAACTTAATAAGTCGTTTAGCAAACATTTACTCATTACTACGGTACAAAAACGTACGGTATATTTAATATGATAATGAAAATATCAATCAGTAAAATATGAAAAAAACGTTAAATTTTCGAACACGTGTAAAGTAAACTATGAAAGCTAAATTAAAAAAATTATAAAAAACGTAACTTACCATAAGTACGGCTCATGCAAATTCTAACGATGCATGAAAGATCGTAAAATCTTTATTTCATAATGGAGCAAGTCTGTTTAGGTTAAATGAAATATTTTTTTATAAATTTATCAAAAAGTAAATAAAAATTATAGAAATTAGTGATTTAATTTAATTTTTTTTTTCCATATAAACTAAGGCAAGTCAATTTTAGGTTATAGGTGTAAATTAGTTTGGTAAAAAAAAAAAAAATATAAAAAATATAAATAAAAAGAATTTAGGATGTTGCGTTGATTTGATTTTATTTTCCGAAGTTTCGCCGGAAGGAAAATTCCATTTTCCATAATTTGTTTTTTGTTTATAATTTTTATAATTTTTATAATTTGATAATTGACGATTTTTACTGTTATAAACTTGTTAATCACTTTCGGATCCGCCCCCATCATCACCTGCTTCAGAGACTCTCCTCTTTTACAAAATTATCGGTTTCATCCATCCTTCCGGCCGCCGTTAATCGGTTCCTTTTTCTTTCCATCTCTGCTTCTCTCATATCGGTTGCTGTGGGATCATAAAATTTCACTCCAGATCACCACCATCACTCTAAAACTTGGATTATCCATCTTAATTCTCTCTAACAAACCACAATGATTACACCGTCGATTTGTGTAGCGGCGGTCTCTGGAATCATCGGCGGTTGTCGGCAGTGACCAATTCAGGCTTTGTACCGTCGCTGAAGCTTCAGTTCTTTCATGGGCGATCTTCGGTCTTGGTCGTTTGAACAAAACGGCGGCGTAGCAGAAGAGAAGCCGTCTTCCTCCTCATCGTTTTCTACGTTGCTACCATCGAATCCGACGGCTATAGGTGCCGATTACTGGCGACGAGCCGAGGAAGCCACACAGGCTATTATCGCGCAGGTTCAGCCTACTGTCTTTTCGGAAAAGAGAAGGAAAGCGGTTATAGATCATGTGCAAAGACTCCTTAGAGGTCATCTTAGATTCGAGGTGAGCTTGGGATTATATGTAATATACTCATTGCAATCTTAATCTCTACACTAAGTACTTATTATGTCTTCACTGGTAGGTTGAGGATTCTGGAGTTTTCATATCTGTGCTTATAATTACTGATGTTGTGAAGTATGACGGCTAAGGATTCGCTTTCTTCATGAAAATTAATCTGGACAGTGTTCACAAGTTTCTCTTTTGTTGAAGTAGCATTATCATTTAGGGAGCAGTCTTCTGATTCAACGTTCGAACTTAATCCCAGTTTCTGCTTTCGTTAAACGTTTTCAAGTGCTGTTAGGTTTTATTCATTCCGATAGGTTGCGTGGGTGGTGATTGTAATCCAATCTGTGCTGACTATATTGATGAATGCAAGGTTGAAATAATGCTTTAAACGACATGGAGGATGTATAGGAAGCAGTAAACATGATTTTGTTTATGATTTTTGATCATGCAAGCTTTGTATGTTCTATCTCTTTCCAATGTGTAAGAGACAAGGCTTTTTCTTGGATGGATGATTTTCATTTTCTTGGTAGGAATGAGGTGGTTGTACATTTTCGTCTTGACATATTTTTATCAAATATATTTATAATCAATGTTTTCAGGCAAGGCCTTCTGTAAAATGCTTACTTTTTATTTGTCATCTGCATGTGCCTGTGTAAGTGTAATTTTGGCGAAGGTGAATCCAGTTTCAACTTTAAACAATGTTGATCTACTACCTTCATCTTCGTCTTTTAATTATTGTAATTTATTTATTTATTTTTATTAGAAATAGATATTTCATTGATCTGATGGAATATACATAGAAAGGGGACAATGTTTATCCACTTTCAAGATACCGAGTTTAGTTTGTGCATGTGGGTAATCATTTCCCCCTTATGATAATAATAATATTCAGTTCTAACAACTCTATCTATGCAATTACAACAAAGCCTAACATTTTCCCTTTACTGCTGACTACTTGATGGTGTGTACCTGCTCGGGTTGTATTCAATGACTATGGCTTTCCTTTGGAAATTCAATAGCCGTGTCATGAAAGCATTATACAGGTTGAATCTTGTAGAGTAGTGTATGATGTAATTTTAATATCCTGGGGCCTATTAAAGCTGCTGGCATTGACCCTGACTGTAGTTTAACTGAGGCAAGAACCTTCGCTTTTTTTTAGACATTTCCACATGTTCAATATTGGCGTGGAAATTATACCCATTTCCACCTTTTTCTGTTCGAAATTTGTGCTCAGATTCTGAAAGTTAATTTGAATTTACAGATTTAATTGCAGATTTCTTACTAACATATGATAGTACAGGTTTTTCCATTTGGGTCAGTGCCATTAAAGACCTATTTGCCCGATGGAGATATTGATTTGACTGTCCTCGGTGGTTCAAATATAGAGGAAGCTTTGGCCAATGATGTATGTTCGGTTCTCAATAGTGAAGATCAGAATGGGGCGGCCGAGTTTGTTGTAAAGGATGTGCAATTAATTCGAGCAGAGGTCCTGAATTTAAATATTATTTTCTTCTTTTTTATAGCTACTCTATAAGCAAAATATGCAATTCTTTTTTTTTCCTGTCTTTTTCCTGAAGCAGGAGGAATGGAAAACATGATGACGTTCCTTTTTTGTTTTATAATTGTGCCAAGCTACTTCTTTCGTTACTACCAATGAGCTCAAGATATCTCTCCTTACAGTAGGAGTTGAAAATTTTGGTTCTTTATGGTCATCTTCCCAATTGCTATGATATCCTAGAGTCATTATTTTGAACTTTGAGTTGGCAATTGGTCATGGTACTCTACTCTCAATCGTTGAAGAGAAAAATAAGATATAGGCATGAGTTTAGTATTTGAAATCAATTAACTGAAGCTAGTCATTTTGCGAGATCTTTTATTGATTCTGCTATTTTTTTCCCCAGTGAACTTCTTCCAGAAGTTTTGCATGTCTTTGGAACTTCTGAGACATATTGCAGTTCATTGCTGCCCCTTGTATAATGTATATTTTGGTAGAGTTCAAAACCTTAATTTTTGAAAGACTTGGCTAGATTTCCTGTTGCCAAGTCTTTTAATTTATTTTCTTTTGACATTGTCTTATTATATGGACTTGTCTCTATAACGCCCCTGGATCTTCCAATGAACTATGTTCCGCTATATTGCTAGTGATTGGTTAGTTTATCCATGAACCAATGTCAACTTGGTTGATGAAACTGAAATTTACTTGCAGGTGGCTATTATATTTAGTAATTTTTAGATAATTATATAGGATATTAGGGAGCAGTGTCATTTGTAGGTTCATTAAATAGATGGTTGAACTATTAATGCATGAGTTCTACAAGCGGTTTTTTAATCATCATATGTTGTTTATAGTGTTCACCTGTACTTTATATTTGTTTGTCATGTAAAAATGCAGTGTGATACAGGATCTTCTACTTGCAGTTAGTATAGCCCTCTATTGTTTTTCATGTAATGTTTGATGTCTTGAGTGTTCTGTTTGCAGGTTAAGCTTGTAAAATGTCTTGTACAGAACATAGTTGTTGATATTTCCTTCAATCAATTGGGAGGGCTTTGCACGTTGTGCTTCCTTGAGAAGGTATTTTTTAGTAGAGTGTATGTATAAATTTAGATTAAGTTGTGTATGTATCAACTGATGCTTAAAACTTGACCATATCTACGTTTGTGTAATTCTTTAGTTAACTGCCATAACCTAATTTTTTATTTTCCTGTTTACTTCATATGATTGAGAACTTGAGCATGGGTCTCAGTATCAATGAAAGCATACTTGTAGATTGCAGAGCTTACTGATCATCTATGATATCTGGATTGACGTCCAGAATAGAATGATCATTGTTCTAGCACCAATTTGATTTTTTTTATGATCAAAAGCAAGCATGAAAATGTTAGAAATATCATTCAGATGTATTATTGTTATTGAAATCTTCGCAAGGTTAATACTGATATAGGGGGCTTAGTCTGTTTCTATTGAAAATTGGCAATGTATCTACAATATATACGGGAAATATCAATAAACTGTGGAAACTACCGTGTGTTTAACAGTTGACCGTGAGTGTATTGGCGATGTATACGGGTGATTATTCAGTTTTCACGCCAATTTTTAATCCAATATTCTCTCTCTTCAATTTCTGCCTTTTTTCCATGTTTCCAGTTAGTTTTCCCCACCCCTCACCTGTTCTTGCTTGGCCCATAAATCTCTCTTTTCTATCTTTCATAATATATATAATTTAAATCACCCATTCCTATGTAATATCCTTTTTTTTTTTTTGCATATATATATGATTAATGATGCTCTAAATATGTTTATCAAAGGATCATTCAATTTCTTATTTATTTTCCAGTCTTCAATATTATTATTTTTATTGTACTAAATGCACATTTTTTACTTAAAAGTTAGTGGTGGATGCATTAAAATGGGCAGTTTGTATCTTAAATAAGTTAGTGTTGAAGTTTTGTTTAAAAGTTCACAATATTTCTCCAAGTATTTTTGTTATCCGTGACTTTTCCTGGAATTTTCATGGATATATTTGTAAACCTATGTGATCTATATCAACATCAACATTTCCATCATCGAACAAAAGTAAGTGGATCAGGAAATTTTGGCATTCTTATTTCTGTAGTTTCTCGAAGTAATTTAGATTTTAAATCTATATGGGGATTCTTTGTTTCTCCTTCTTTCCTAGTAGTTTTTTCAAAATGCTATAATTTTACAGTTTTCTTTAGAAGAAGAAGCGATGCTGGCTTAATATTTTAGTTTCTTGACTTGATTGATGAGAAATTTTGTTCTATAAAAAGTAAACACGACTGTGAGTGAGAAAAATTGTGAGAGTCCTTGGCCTTAGAGGACTCCTGCCTTTCCCCTGCTTGCACACATTTGCATATGTAACAGCATGTAGTTGACTTGTCTTTGGCCTATGCATTCTTTACCAGATTGGTTGTAACTGGTCATCCTTTAGGTAAAATAACTCTTTTTTTTTCAATTTTTTTTAACTAATTATTATTTCTTTTAAAGAGAAATCAAGCTTTCATTGATAAACATAATTGCATATATAAGAACTTACAAAGCTTCAAGGAATACTTGGAGTCTGATAAAATATTAAAGAACATAATTAATTGGCATCTGATGCTGCATTGACCCTTGCATGTGGTCTTGTGCATCTTGAATCAATATGTCATTGAACTGTTTCTTCGAGGCGCAAATGACAATCCACCATTGTCTCCATCTGCCCTCTTGGGATAACGGGCGGTTTTTATGATGTGTGATATTTTGTGGGGGGCTTTGGATGAAAGAAACAACAAAATCTTTAAGGCCGTGAGAGTTCTTTTACTGATGTTTGGTCTCTTATTAGATTTTTTGTTTCTCTCTAGGTCTCTGTTTGTAGGCTTTTTTGTAATTATTTGCTTGGATTTTTTTCTCTTAACTGGAACCCTTTGTAGTTCGGCTCATTTTTGTGGGTATTATTTGTCCATGTATTCTTTCCTTTGTACTCCATGAAAGTCAAGTTTTCTCAACAAATTTTCCTTTTCATTTAACATGACTCCCTAATGTTTGCTCATTGGTTCTAATTGATATCCTTTTGTGAAATGTTGGGATCAAAACTCCTGCCTCTCTTCTTCTAACATGTAAAAATGACATATCATAATGACATTTTAGTGCTACTTGTTCTAACAGATTGATTGTCGCATGGGGAAAGATCATCTTTTTAAGCGCAGCATTATACTTATTAAAGCTTGGTGCTATTATGAGAGCCGCATTCTAGGGGCTCATCATGGCTTGATATCGACATATGCTTTGGAGACTTTGGTTCTATATATTTTTCATCTCTTCCATTCTGCCTTAAATGGTCCTTTACAGGTTAGTAGTCTCAGGAGCTGCTCTTCTTAAACCCCTTTCATTCATTGACTTGCACATGCTTTATATATAACTAATCTATCCTATATCTAAACTATTAGGTGTTATATAAATTTCTGGACTATTTTAGCAAATTTGATTGGGATAATTACTGCATAAGCTTGAATGGTCCAGTTCGCATATCCTCACTGCCGGAGCTTGCTGGTGAGAAGTTTCTTTTGACATACCTAATTTTTTTGAAGGTCCTGCATGCCTTGTATTTGGGATTCTAAATGTTTTGGCCATCTTCTGGCAGCTGAGACACCTGAAAATGGTGGGGGTGATCTGTTGCTTAGCACCGATTTTCTTAAGAGCTGTTTAGACACGTTATACGTGCCTGGAAGGGGGTACGAGCCAAACTCAAGGGCATTTCCCATAAAGCATCTCAACATTGTCGATCCACTAAAAGAGAACAACAACCTTGGTCGCAGTGTAAGCAAAGGTACCTACAATTCTCTTACATCGGGTTTGATTGTCTGCTATTTTTCCCCCCATCTATAATGGTATGATCGGGACATCCTGAAACTGTGGTGAAGTGTTATTTTTTTCTTTTTAAAATGCTATTATGTTTTTAATCATTTAGAAATTACTCATAGCTTTCTAGTTCCTCGAGCAGCACAAGAGTAGGGGAGAGGTCTTTTATTATCACATGGAGATGTTTAATATGGAAATAAGTTTTAAGAACATGACTAAATCCTAATTTTTATGCGTACTCTGTCTTGATCTTTAAACATCCAAATGATTCCAGAAATTTGTAGCTTTGTTTTTAAAAATCATTTTAGTGCTTATTATTATTATTATTATTCAGTTGGGTTCCTTTTGATTGAGGCTTTTTTTTATGGGCCCCTTCTATTCTTTCGTTCTTAATGAAGGTTGGGTTATTCATAAATAAAACAAATTATGTTTCAAGGTTTTGAAATGAATCTAGGTTTAAATAGAAAATTGACTGTAAGCTAAAATAAACTTTTATGTGAAATCTAGGAACTATATTTAAAAATTAAGGGATCAAAATAGAAGATTTGAGAGTTGGGTAGAATGGAATTAGTATAAAAGTTGAAGACTCGAATAGGATTTAAAACTTTATACGATCCATTCTGGTTATTAACTAGCTTTTTGCGGCCTTGGTGAACGAACCCCTTCGAAATATTTGAAAGCCACTCTGTAACGTGCAGGAAACTTCTATAGGATTAGAAGTGCTTTCAGTTATGGTGCTCGGAAGCTAGGATCTATCCTTTCCCAACCTGAAGAAATTGTAGTGGATGAAGTTCGCAAGTTTTTTTCTAATACATTGGATAGGCACGGAGGTGGGCAGCGGCCTGATGTCCAAGATCCCGTTTCAGTGCCTGGAGGCTATGAATCTTGTGCAGGTTTACTAGTGTCTGGTTCAGAGACACAAGAAGAAACAAATAATCGTGATTCAGGCTCTCTCTACGCTAATGACACCACTGGAGAACGTAGCTCGAGTCGTGAGGTATCAATTCATGGGGGAAATGCCAATGCTAAGGTATCAGGTGAATATGACATTGTTGGCGGAATCATGAATGAATCATCTCAAGGAAGACCATTATCAGTTCCTTCAGGTGTTGATGGTCTTGCAAATGCCATTGGTGTTTCAGACGTTCGTCTCTCTGGAGATGCAAATGATCTTGCTAGCTTGAGAATTGAAGGTCTTACTATTTCAAACGATGCACATAAGTCTACTCCTTCAAGTTTTAAGGAGGGTATATCACCATTAGGTAATCCTCACCTTTGTAACGGGGAAGTAACATACAAAAATACAAAGAAATGCACTCCAAAGAACTCTGGCTCAACAGAGAAGAAGTCATCTAACCAGCATCTGCAATCACCCACTGATGCAACAGGGTCTTCTGCACAAGGTAATAAGCAGGATGAGAATCACGTGAATAATGATGATGAATTGGCGAACCAATCTGAAAAGAAACAATGTTCTCGTGGGTTTCTGAATAGCAATGATGAACCTCCAGAAGCTTTCAGTGCTTTGTCAGATCTTAGTGGTGACTATGAAACTCATTTTAACAATCTGCAAATTGGCCGGTGGTACTACGAATATGCCTTAACTGCAGCCCTCTCGCCCACTCCTCCACCATTGCCTTCACAATATCCAAACAAGAATGCATGGGATATAATACGACGCTCAGTGCAGGTCAAGCAGAATGCGTTTGCCCAGATGAACAATAATGGACTCCTTGCAAGACCAGCATTCTATCCCATGCGATCACCAATATTACCTGGGGGTGCAACATTGGGTATGGAAGAGATGCCGAAGCCACGAGGAACCGGGACGTACTTTCCCAACATGGTATTCTCGTCATATTAAACTTAAAACACTTTTCGTCTTACAGTTCGTGTGGTTGAAGATGTACTTCTTTCTTTGTCTTTGAGTATTTCTTTCTTTCCAGAACCATTACAGGGACAGACCACCATCAGCAAGGGGAAGGAACCAAGTGCTAGTGAGGTCGCCTCGAAACAATGGCCGATCATTGGAAACAACTGTACTCGAGAAAAGTAGTCAAGACTCGTACCAAGTACCAACTGTTAATCTTGCTGGTGGCATGTTGACTTCCACTGGTTCCTCTGTAAGGAAAGCTCAGCACAATGGGAATTCAATGCCACGACCTGATAGAGCGGTAGAATTTGGGTCTTTTGGGCATCTTCAATTAGAGTCGCCCGTAGATTGTAGCGGGGAATCGAGTCCTGTATCGGCAGTATTTTCATACTCAGAAGCTTTAAACGTTTCAAGTCCCAAGATGCAGAAAGCCAAACAAGCGTCAATCAAAGACCACGATAGGTATGAACGCTTCATAACTCTTCCAGGTACTTATGCGATTACATGTCCTTGTTAAACTGTTTAAATTTTCTCTTTTGTTCTGAATATGTAGGCTCTCTGTTCATATGCAATCGTATGAGTTGAAAGATGAAGAAGATTTCCCACCCTTGTCCAACTGACACAAGTGGGGAATGGAGTTTATTTATACGGTTAGTCAGTATGAAACTGAGTAGGAAGAAACTGTAGTTGCTAACAAACAACAGTTTGCGATCCTCCTTCCATCTCTGCAATTTAGATGTTCTGTTCTATTTGTAGCTCAAAAAGCATTTTGTACATCCTACCAATTTATTTTGCTTTTCTCCTCAAATAACTCGATAGTCGTTCGTCGTGTTTTACACAGAAAGAGCCCTTTTCATTTGAAACTAGGATGTTTGTAACAATGGTTGCTTCTTTTGACCCTCATTCCTCCATGTTTTTGCCCTTTTCTTTGCTCCTTGTAGGTAAACATCCCAGCACAGAATATATTGTTGCCTATGTTTGTTGTAAGTTAAATGAAAATGCTTCTTTTTGGAGCCATCTCTACATTGCCCTATCCATCACCATGCATTATCAACGGTGTTAATACCTTACTTACCTTCCTTATTTTGTGTTTTGTTTGTTTTGGCCCTTCCACTGTTGGCACAAATTTTCTGGGAAGGTCTACAGCTGTTTCCTATGGCTGAGCTGCATTTTCTTCTCATCTTATAGGAAAGAGCCTTTTGTTCTTTGTAGATGAAAAGATTTCCTTGGCTTAAGAGATTTGGAGTTGAGTCATGAAATCATGGTTCATTTTTGGTTTAAACAAGTATCTAGTCTAACAACTTAAAATCTTGCTGTTCTTTGAGATGTATAAATAGCTCAGATTTCTGTTGGCTTCGTTGGGAGGCTCGTGTAGTTTGTTTGTTACATCAATTCCTAAAGGATAAGTGGTGGTTGAATTGAGAAATTTGTGTGGAGTTCATAATTTTATAAAAGGAAGAGAGATAGTGGGGCAGGTCAAGGCACTTCTTGGTCCTTGTACTGGTCCGTTTTGAAGAATTCGTGGGCCGGCAAGTCTCTAGGACAAGGGGGCGGGCACTACTAACCAAACCAAGCCTAGTTGTCGCCGATAGGCGCTAGTAGCTTGCTTCCAAGCCTTGTCATTAATCGAATTGACTTCACTCATTATGCACGAGTCGTTTTCTGATAACAAATGTCGATATAAGGGCTGTTCTACCAACACTTTTCTTTTATTGTACAAGACCTTCATTATTGTGTTAAATGTAAATACAATGATGAAAAGGCCTGCATTATTCTTTAATCAAGATTCCTGAGGTGTTATTTGATGATTGAGGCTAGTTTTTGTTTAATCGACTTTAGTTTATAGATTCATCAATGTTCGTCTAACTTACACGTTATCGAATTATCGAATCTAAGGAAAGAACTTATTGATGGTTTTGTTTGATTGTTTCTTCAATTGATTAGGCCCGAAAAAGATGAAATCAGAAGGGGACTTGTAGGGAAGCAATTGGTGAGCTATAAGCATCAGATTCTCACTTTTATAACATTGCGTAATAGGTTTCATAAAAAAGGGTATAATTATTGAGGAAACCCTAGAAATGAATTAAATAATTTAGTGATAAATACATAGTTTATATTAAAAATCTCAACTATTTAATTAATAAGAGACAAGTTGATGATTGACACGTCAAGTCAACTATATGTTTATAAATTTTGAGATGAAAATGACAAGAAACCAATGGGTACCAAACTCATCAAAATCTAACCCATGCTTATTATAAAGTCAGCTAAAATATTTAAGTATTGGATTTATTAAAAATTTAGCATAATTGTGATAGAATCTTTTTTTTTTTTTTTTTTTTTAATAAAAAAAGATAAGCCCATGATGGTATAAAAATAGTTGAATCATACCCTCTATTTTATCAGAGTTCCTAATTAATTGAAATATGCCCATTTTTTCTTAAAAAATTTGGAGAACATTGATAAATTCGACACGCCTTAGAGTTAGAGGCTGCCACGGTAGGAAGTAGTAGAAAAAAACTTGCTAATGAGCCAAAGCAAACATGCGCTATTACAAATGGTATCAGAGGCAGACATTAGACGATGTGCCAACAATAACGTTGGCCTCCAAGGGAGGTGAATTGTGAAATCTTATATTGATTTAAGAAGGGAACGAAACATTTCTTATAATAGTGTAAAAACCTCTTCCTAATATAAAATCGTGAAACTAATGGTGATACGTAATGAGTCAAAGTAGACAATATCTGCTAACGGTAGACTTGCGTGTTACAAATGGTAGAGTATTTAGGTTGCACATTCATACCCATAATAGAATCTACTACTTGAGCTGCTCGGTGAATATCCCTTATTATTGAGTCTGCTCCAATTATCTCGTCCATAGAAGAAGCTGATATAGAATAGACGTTTATTTTTTATTTTCCACGTAATTTTTGAAATTAAAAAATTAAAAGGTGGTCAAATTTAATTAAAAGTTAAAAACTTTTACCAAAATACATTTTAAAATAAAAGAGAAATTAAAAGGGCAATTGGCCCTTTTTCTTTATTGGCCTTTAGAAAGTCAACTTAAATATTAAAATATTACTCCGATGGCTACTTTCTTATTTATTTATTTATTTATTTATAAATATAATAATCGGCTCACTGTTTAATTTAGCCAAGCCGGCTGCCTTCAACTCCTCAACTTTCTTTTTATTTATAAATATAATTATCATTTTTATTTTATTTTGGATTCTAATAAAGTTTTTTTTACACTTTTTATTTAGTTTTAAAAATTAAATTTATAAATTCATATTTTAAAAATACAAAGTTTTAAGAAGTTGTTTTGTTTATAGAATTAATCATTAATTCTTTATTTGTATTTCTTTTTTAGTTACTTAATCATAAAAACTTCAAAATTAAATACGTTTACTTGAAATAATTCTACTTTCTAAGAATTTCTTTAGACAGTTTCTAAAATAATGCAACTGTATTATAGGGAAATGTCACGACACACAGGTGCCTTAAATATTAAATTACAATTTAGTATTTATATTTTTAAAATTATTTCTAATAGATCTCTAAACTTTATAAAATATCCTTTGAAAATCTTCAATTTTGTGTCTAATAAATTTTTAAATATTTTTTTTTAATAAACCCTAATTTATTACCCATTTAGAAAACAAAAAAACTATGGATCTATTATACATAAAATTGAAAAATCATGAATATATTGAACATAAATTCAGTGTTTTATAGGTTCATAAAATTAGAAAAGATTGAATATTTTAGTATATAATTTATCTCGAACACGTATGCATTAAATAGATTCTCGAACTTAATTTGCTATTAAGTTAATGAACTTTCAACGTCGTATCTGTAGCTAAACCGTTGAATTCTTCTAATGAACTTATTGTACTAAAAATTTATACCGAACAATTATTACATAAAATTGAAAGGACTCATTTGACATTTTTAAAATTAAAAGGACCTAATAAAAATTTGGAAGTAGTTTAAATTTATTTTATTACCACAACACAACCCTTCTCACAGTCTGCCGGCTGGCTCAGTAGGTGAAAGCCACAGCCGAAGCCGAACCAGCCACTAAATTCTCCGTTTAAAATCAACCCCGTCACCGTCAACAGACGTCATCCGTTAAAAAACAAACGCCTCTTAGTTCTTTCTTCATTTCATTCCATTTTGCATGATAAACTGAGTTGCCAAATTTTGCATTCAAATCCCCAAAGAAACAAAGAAAGAGAAAATTTTGTGTTCTAAGAAAATCAAACCAAATTTTCCCGAGAAAATTCCACAAATGGTTGTAGCAAAGCGAGGGCACAGATTCTTCAAATTCAGATTATTTTTCCATTTCATCTCTTGTTCTTCCTCCATTTCCAGTTCATAATCTCAAAATTAGCTTTGATCTTTTCATTTTCCCACCATCCAAACACCCTTTTTTCTTTCTGGGTTTTGGATTTTGACACAAATGGTTTCAAAATATTACCACAAATTTTCACGTGGGGTTGTTGAAATGAATTGGATTAAGCTGATTTGTGTTCATTACTCAAATCTTTTCTGGTTTTTGTTTGGATTTTTCTCGAATGAAAACTATCAAGGGAAGCCTCGGATCATCTAGCAATTCCTTCATCCTTTTTTCTCTTCAATAATTTTGTTTGGATTTTATTAAAACAATACTTTTTCAATATATATATATATATATTGTTTGTATTTTGATTTTGAGCTAAGAACAATGGCACAGCCTTCTGGGTATGCTGAAACAGACCCATCTGGTCGCTATGGACGGGTAAGTTTCTATAAACCCTACATACTCCTCCTTTAATTCCTCTTCTTTTTGTGTATATTTTACGTTAAATTATATAAATTACTCGGAAAAATTTGCTATGGGTTTTGAATAAGATGATAATCGAGTACTATTGTGCAAAAATTGATAAGATATCGTCTACTAAACTAACCCACAATGATCGGTGCATAAAAGTTGATTATATAAATGATTATAAAACGATCTTAAAATATTAAATCCTTTCAAATTGAAATTATAAACCGCTGAACTATGCTCAAATTGACTTAAAACATGTTTGTAGTTCATAATCTCGTTATTTTTAGGTTGAATTATATAAATTACTCCAAAATTTGAGGTAATTTTTGAATAAAATGATAATCGAGGACTATGGCGTAAAAATTGAAAAGATATCGTGTTTTAAAAAAGTTCAAAGAAGATAATATGAACGGTTGACGTTATTGTTATTGTGCAGTTTAGAGAGATTCTAGGAAAAGGAGCCATGAAGACAGTATATAAAGCCTTTGATGAGGTGCTTGGGATTGAAGTGGCATGGAACCAAGTCCAGCTCAAAGATGTGTTCCATTCCCCCGAGGAACTACAACGTCTCTACTCAGAAGTTCATCTCCTCAAGAACCTCAACCACGACTCGATCATCCGATTCTACGCTTCCTGGATCGATACTCATCGTCGAACCTTCAACTTCATCACCGAAATGTTCACCTCCGGCACCCTTAGAGAGTACTACTCATAATTCACAACATTATTCTTCTAAACGTTTCATCATGTTCTTGTTCTTGTTCTTGTTCTTGATATTTGTTCATTTCACTCTTCTAATGCTAATTAGGTACCGACAAAAACATCGAAACATCAATATCGAAGCGATCAAGAACTGGGCTCGACAAATCCTACACGGCCTAGCTTATCTTCATGGCCATGATCCTCCTGTAATCCATAGAGATCTCAAATGTGATAACATATTCATCAATGGCCATCTTGGGCAAGTTAAGATTGGTGACTTGGGACTTGCAACCATCCTTCATGATTCTCAACACGCTCATAGTGTTATAGGTAAGCTTCTCGAACTTCATATTTCTATAATGATATGATATTGTCGTAACGATCGGAATTTGCAGGTACACCGGAGTTCATGGCACCGGAGCTGTATGATGAGGATTATAATGAGCTTGTAGATGTTTATTCCTTTGGAATGTGTTTGATTGAGATGCTCACTTTGGAGTATCCTTAT